TATGCACTGGACTTGGAAACAGAAGCACACATCAAATTCAACAGATTTACCCACCAAGTGTTAATAAGTATCAGTACCTGAACATGTATAAATATGTTATTAATATGTTAGTAGTGTAGGATATAAAACAATAAGAAGTATTACGCATAACCAGCAGCATGAAAGACAAGTGGAGCAACCCAAAGACCAGCAAAGAAACTTGAACTTGATGCGGAACATACAACAGAAATTTCCAACAGTGAAACAACAGAAAAATTTCACTGCCAAATGAAACTTGCTAGTTTTCAGCATCACAAGCAAAACAGAAAGAGGGGCCGGAGATGAGGGCTTGAATCAGGACTTAAAAAACCCCAAGTTTTAAGTCCCTCACAGGTCAAAAATTAAGAGCGCTACCATTTTACCATCTATAGCAGCCTTAGTGCTAGCCACTGCATTTACAAATGGAAAGCCAAATGTCCAGACAAAATGAAACAAGATTGCCTCATACAGTCTGTCAGTTTTACATGTTAGTTATGCACATGATGCAAAACATCATGTACATAAATCCAAGTTGAGACATAAAATGTATATATTATCTGTAGTAAGATGAAGTCATAATTTAGGAATGTGACAGAATATGCAAACCAATATGCAACCACTTAATTAGCATTCCCATAAGAGATTTAGAGATTACCTTGTCTAGAGACTTAACCTTTAGCTGCATTAGAGTGCCACATTAAGCCCATTAAGACCTCATCTAATATGGGTAATAGATCTGCTATCAGATGCATCAGATCTGCCACCCTCCCTTTTTCCTGTATGCAGCCTTCTTATATAATAGCTACTTCAATTTCAAATTAAGTTTTTATTTTCAACATCCCATATTTGGAATATTACATAAAGCTGTAGCATATGGACCATGGCTGGGAGTTTTACTTCTCTGGATTAATATAACTGTATTTATAATTTATACCAACGTTACACAAGCAAACAACAAAACCTTGGGAGCCAGGTGAAGCTGGCAGAATGAAATCCTGGCAGACCAACAGAAATTTCTACACATTCCATCCCAAGTTCAAAGCACTCCCTCTTTTGACCAAATTTTGCCTCTTAGAAATGTTGACAGAGCCTTTCCAAAGCAACAAGCAACAGAAAAGGGAAGCAGATAAAGTGCACAGAGCACAAGTTCACTGCACATATGTACCCTGTCATACAGTGGCTAAGTACTATCAGACTAAATATATATCAGGCTATTTAACTCTGTGGACTCAACTCCCAGCTTCTTCTACAATTCTACGCCACAACAAGAGAAGCACCACTCAGAGAATCTCTGAGCTTACCAGTTCAACGTATTGTCAGTTGCAATGCACAGAAGGACAGGATTCAAACTCACTTTCTTGAATGAAAAGTAACATATAATGGAAGAAAATAAAAAACTAAGAATCTTCTGCTAACAGCAAATTTCTTCATCTGTTATTAAGGGCAAATTCCTGCTCCCCTCTGCATCTTAGCAGTATTTGTTGTAGCTGTTGTTTGATGCCCATGAAAAAGCTTGCCCCCTCAGGTGAGGTCAGTAAAATAATCCTCTCAAAACAACAGAATCGCCTCAGCAACAGAACATTAGCATGAGGATGGGAACGTAACTTATTAATTAACCTCAGGATAATTAAGCATTTCCACTCCCTTCCAGAGTAAAGAATTTATTCCAGTCAATTATCAGATCACCAGGATAGGACAAATGAGGAGATAAGCTGCTAACAAGAATTACCCAGCAAATTTCTCAGTCACTTGTACAGCTTTTTTTCTTGTTCATCAAGACTGGGAATTAGTGAGAGGTGAATCAGAGTGGCAGTGGGGCAACAGCCTGGATGCTGTGCAAGCAAGGTTCAGCAACAGCTGAAACAGGCATGTTACCAACCCTCCTAGCCACAATTGCAAAAGCACAGTACCACAGGGGTTCCCATGAAAAGTCAATCCCATCCTGTTACAGACCTAAACCAAAAATAAATATAGGTCCTCAAACGGTAATTAGTCTTCTCATATGAGTACATTCCACACACAGTCCCTTCCTGGAAATTTTGTTCTATTCTTCTGATCTTTATCTGCAGTTTTCTTAGGCTGGAAAGCTCCTTTAATGTATTGCTTAGGACAAGAAAGTAATATAGCTCAGATACGTTAAAGTGTGACTGATATGTTGTCATAGCAACAATAACAACAAATTTTAAATTGTCTGGGTCACAAAATTAAAGTAATACTTTACAGCCAAATCCCTTTGTTTGTCCTAGAAGCAAAAGAATAATTTTACCAGAAACTGAAATCATCAAGATGATTTCCTTTTGGGCATCAACAGTTCAAAAAGTCATAGTGAGAATTTCTGACAATTTAGGATTCTGGTTTGATGCATAGATATTAGCTGTCAGTATTTCACATCACAATTAAAACAAACACAAAAGAATCAAGCCTTCATGCAACAGACCCAATCACAGTTTCAAAATATCTTTCTTGACCAATTGGCAAGTCTTGAAAGTCCGTCTTAGTGAATAGAAGAGGAGCTCTCCTCACATTGTCCATTATCCTTGTAATGTTATGCTCTGTCATTTCCATTCTAGCAACAATTCTCCTGTTCTGCCAGAGGTACTCATAGACTCTTTTCAAACAATGAAAGAAATTAGATGCAATTTTAAAACGAGAAACACAGACTGAGTAGCCTTTTCAGTGCTTCCATACAGTTTCCTTTAAATTCAGATACTCTTCCAGCAGTATACTTGCTTCACTGGACTAGAAAAATACAGCTACTGTGACTCAGATGCTAGCAGACAGAAATACATGCTCTATGATCTTGAGGTTTCACCTTCTGAGCATGTAGCTGAAGTGCCAGATTTATGTCATTACTGTCCATGTAAAGAATGAGAATGGGGTAAAACCAGGATTGGCTGTACACCCTCACCCACAGATAAGGATTCAGATGCCTTCTAAGAATAATGTTCATCTTGAGGCAGGCAAAGGACCTAGGAAGCACTGCTGCTTTCACAAACAGCCACAAGATAAAGGTGATGCAAGCCACCAGTGCCATGAGCTAGAAGACAATCTACTACAGAATGACATCTCCAGCTGAGTGTAACATGTTCATAGAAGTTTGAGATCAATTTTCTTTTCCTCCCATGGAGCTCTTAGGAAACACAAAAAAGCCCACCCAGAACAGCTAGATCATTCCCATGGACAGAAACTAGAATGGCATTGATGAACCAACTTGCATGGGGACCCATTCTTTATTACCAGCATCTAATATGTAAATTTAAACAAATGTCTGTATTGCATAAAAATTAAGTATAAATTGGGCATTTAAGTCTGGTGTTTAGTGGTTTTGGTTTGGGTTTGGAAAAAAACCAAGTGTATTTATTTTGCTCAAAAGTATCTGTTTCTATTTCTTGTTTTCTATTTCTATGACATTCCTTCACTCAATACTCTTGGAATTAGCAACAATGAATTATAAATTAATATTTGTCTATGTTGTTTTTTACTGGCATCCAGGCCAGTTTTGGTGGGGCTTTTTCCTGTTTTTTTGGTATGCTCTCACTCCATCTTCTTTTGTAACCAACATACAATTGTTTTCAAAAGCTAGTGTTTAAGAGTAGCTTAAACTACTGGAACCTACTATTTCTAGCATACAACTTAGAATCCTGTATTTATCATAGTCACATATAGTATTTTACCCAGATGGAACAAAAGATTAGCCAAAGATCACATCACAGTTAAGAGACAACTGCATGGTGCCATTGATAAGACTTTGCTTATTAAGTCACAGTGGGAGTATATGTAGTTCAATCTAACATCTCTGTCCTCATTCTTGTAACTTGTACTTTCCAAAGGCTTCTTAGATCTTCCTGTAAAATACGACTCTTTAAAAAAGCTGAAGTAAGAAAAGAAAAAACCCACAAACTTTTTCATCAAAGTTGTCTTGCAGCAGGAAGATTGACAGGCTCAAAGGAAGTTTTTTAACAAACATGAATTAATTCAATCACAACCAACATAATTTTCAAGCCCCACAGTTGTGGGCTACATTTTCCTTTAGCATCTAATCAGAAGAGAGTAAAATGAACATCTAAGCAGGAACATGAAAGGCTTCTTAATTACAGAATTGAATTGGGCAAATATCAAAACAGGCTTTCTGCTGGAAATCAGGAGTCATTCTTAACACATTAAAAAACAATTCTCTAATGCCACAGTGGTGATTGCTTCCTTTTCAGAAAACTTGTGACCAGAAGTGTTCTTTTAGCTACAACTGAGAGACAGGCTGAAACCCAAGCACTCCAGAGGGTTTCTCCACAGGAGGAAAGAACTGGTGTAAATTCAGAGAGGCTCTCTTGGAGCAAACTAGAGTTTTTATGCAGGTACCTCAAGGCACATGCAATAATAAGGCAATCAGTGCCTTATTAAACGTTTGTATGTTACCTCTTCCATTAAGTATGGACTTTACCATGAAACTGCTTTATCCACTGGCAGTGGAGAATGGGCAAAGTAGTGCCATTCCAAAACCAGAAACTTGTCAAAGGAAATAAAAAAATCCCTCAATTAGGATGAATTTTCAAAACACCATATGTAAACTGAAATACAATCCAAAACACCCTAGGGGAGGCTATGGAAACTTTCTGAAAAGCACTGTTCTTGTTGAAATGAACTTCACTTTTCCTGGGAAGTACTATATTGCCTTGCACACAGTACTGCAGGGTAACAGCATAAGCTATACTCATTAATGCTCAGTGGTTATAAGCTACTTTGACAACTGATAGTGCTGTTACCTAAAAATGACACTTGATATTGCAATTCAAAAACTCTTCTACAAATTGTGAAGTACTTGTTTATTTACAGCACTGTAGAAGAATAATTATGCAGAACACAACAGGCTGCTCACAGTGTAAGTCAGATCAGCTCCGTGACAGGCTTAACTCGTGTACTGGCTTTTTAGAATAGCTTTTATGCTGAACATTAATGAATGTGGCTTTAAAAAGAAGAGTACTAACCCTGTAGAGAGGGTGGCATTTGTCCTTGAAACATGGTGCCAAACGAGCATAGATCTGCAGGCTATAGTAGTAACTTGCCAGCTGGAGAGATAACGCAGAATGTAATTGCTTTTCAAAGCATTTGTTGGCATCTACCACCTAGAAGAAATAGAGAATTAATTTACATGAAAGAATTAGCAAGCATACAACATTAAGTGTACAAACTTTCTAAAAAGCTACTTGCTGTTGTTTAGAAATAATCCTGTTTTTCTGGTACAGAAGTAAATCAGTAACCTCCACACATAAAGATAATTCTACATTATGGTGTTTTTTTCCCCCTTGAGCAAATATTTAACCAAAACATTCTTCCAACTACACTATTGCTGTTTCTATACCTCAAGGTTATTATCCACATTTCTAAGTTACATTAGACTTGTCAGTCTGGTGGACCAATTTCTATTTTAAGTAAGAATTGTGTCTTTTCACCAGTGCCATGCCATGCTCAATGAACCATCAAATGGCATTTGTTCACTTTCCTTTATATGCATCAGCCTAATCTGCAAAAATGTGTATTAAAATGAATTTGGATACTTAAGATTTTTAAATCTTAAGGAAATGAAATTTGCTAATGTAATTCTGCTATGAATAGATTTCCTGGCAAAAACATACAAAGTCCCAGTCAACATACCTGTGGCAGTGCAAGTAGATAGGCAAGAGACAAGGCTGCATCCTTTGATAAAGCATCACTTGCCAGTTGTAGCAGAACTGCAACACAGAGGGAGCAGACACAAAGTTTGGATTACTGGCCCACTTGGCCTTGAGAGCTAGCAAATGAAATGTTTTCAGGGCAACTATATTTTATTAGACACTAGCTTGAAGCACTCCAGACATATTTAATTAAACACTTATCAGTGCAATCCAGAAAGAGATAATATATAATTAAACTGCAGCACAGCTTTACCTTAACTTCTAGGCAAAGTGTTTGATGCATTAACCAAAGAAGAATGAGATTATGCAGCAACAGATACTAAACAAAGCCACCTGTACTGATTTCCAAGAAGTAAATATTTTGCTTGTAAAATCAAGGAAGTAATGTAATGTTTTAAGGGTTCCAAGATACCAAGAAGAGGAATGGTACAAAATTTCTTCAAGCCTGAGCTCAAACTCCCTTATCACTAAACACAACAAATCATATTAAATACTTCTGCCCTAATTAAAAATAAAAACAAAATTCTGCAAAAGTATCGTAAGAAACACCACAACAAGGTTCTGCCACATACTGAAAACAAGTATCAGTACTACAGCAATTGAAATAAATTCATCAAAGGATAAGTATTCTGATTATAAACACATATGCTTCTGGTAAAACTGACAAAAATCACTTGCATTTCCTACATTATGGATACCAAACTTGGGGGGAGGGGTTGTTTCCATTGTTATAGATTACATTATTATTAATGTTATTAATATTATTTCAACAGGAAGAAACCATCTTCCAGCAACTTAGCACTTTGTTTATTTCAAGGAAGTCTCAAACACCTGTTTGTTAATTCCCACATTACATAAACTCCTCTGCAGGGCATGCTGGTAAAAACCTGATTACTTTACACACACTCCCACAGTGAATTCTTTCTTCCAAAGAATGACTTATAAAAGGCTTGAATGACCAATTACAATTTTAAGATTATCATTAATTTGCCATCAGCCTGAAGTGGATTTACAGGCTCTCAGCCAGATACAAGCACTAAATTTCTATATGACATCACCACAGAGGCTGCAACATAAGCCTGTCCAACAGCACCTATCCTTTACGCTTCAAATGGCTTTTACTGTGCTTCAGACAGCTTCTTGCTGCAGACAGATTGTTTCTGCTACACTCCAAATAACCTGTATGCTGTCCAAGGAAAGACAATAAGAACTCTAGAAATATCTAATAATAAAATCTGGATGAAAATTACTGGCTCCTCTTCTGATAACAAGCAGTTACTTTATGCATTTTTACACCCACCTCTAGTTAAACAGAAAAAAAAAAAAAGGAAGGAGGAAGGAAGAGTTTCAGCTCTGCTCTCTTTCCCCTTTCTTTGGAGAATTAATGTTAGTGATACCTCCTGAATACACAATAAATGATGGACTCTCTTCCAACTTAACATCCCCACCATGAGAACTGACACACTTGCAAGACATTGTTCTTCACCATTAGGATAGCAGTAATTACAAAGAACACAGACCAATACAGGGCTAGAAAACAATATGATTTTCTTCACCCTTTTCCATGAAGTGTGACATAATAGCATCCCAACTGTCAGAAGTTATGTAAGAAGAAAGAACTGCCTCTACTGTCATACCTTCCAAGAAAAAAAATTCCTCTGTATTGATCCAATAAATTTTCTGCATGCTCGTGTGTTCATAAAAGGTTTTCATGTATCCATACTTAGATGTGCACTTTACATACACACAAATAGGTGTATGCAAAAATAATTTCACACAGCTTTCTGTCTCGAAGTGAAGCCCCACAAGAATCCTCTGCAGTCTAACAGGGTTGAGTTCAAATCACAGCCTCCAGACATCAGAAGGATGCCATTCTGTCCTGTCTTGTACCTTCACAAAATTTACAGGAACTTAATGTCATTTCAGACCACTGCCAGATCTGGAATTTGCCAAAGGGATTACACATTACATGGTTGGCAAATCAGAGAAGGCAGGCAGTGACAAGCAAAATGCCAGTGCTGCTGTCCCCCTGCTGTCCCACAAGCACAACTTTCTCACAAAAATATTTTGATTTTATAAATATTTTTGTTTCCTGTGCAAGTCTTTATGCCACAGCCTGTTTGAGAGGCTAACTATTGAAAAAATGGTTTATTTGTGAAAATTGGAAGTTTCAACTCGCTTTCAATGGATTTTCCCCTGAAAAAAATGCAAAAACGGCTTTGAGTCTTCAATTGTTCATTTAGCCAATGATAAAATCTCAATAGACTTAGAAGCATATACTGCAGTTAAACAGCCATATCTACAACTAGGCACAAAATTATGGGGAACATTAAGGTATTATTTGCTCTAAAAACCCTGAGGATTAATAGGTATGACTAATTGTCTTGGGTTTACTCTGAGTTTAGTGCCTAGTCTGGTTAGAAGGACATACAGCCATCTTTCAAATTTCATCTTCAACGTCCTGATCAATCCCTAAGACCTACAGAGAAAGAAAACCCCAATCAAACAGAGATGCACAACACGGCCTCAGCCACACCAAGTCTGGGTGCACTATCAGCCCACAGCTAAGGAATGAGTGCTTTGCAGGACCCAGGGAGATGAGAGTTACCATTTCCCTTGGAAATACTCAGTTTACCACCTGCAAGGACAAGAAAAGCCAAGGTTCAAGGCTTGTAACACTACCAAATCCATAAAAGCAGCAAAATATCTTGAGTTTTATTACAGAGGTTTTCAAGGCCAGATGGCTGGGGCTCTCAGTAACCTGGTCTAGTGGAAGGCATCCCTGTCCATGGCAAGGGGTTGAAATGAGATGATTTTTAAGATTCCTTCCAACCATTCTACAATTCTATGATGTTGCACACTGTCTGTGGGGAAGGTGCTTAGCCAGGCTCTCACTCTGCACATGGCACTGTTACAGTAAACAAAGTCTGATGGATACTCTAGTCTCTCCTAAGACAAAGTGCCAAGTACAGTGAAGACTTCTTTGCTAAAGTGCATCTACCTCCAGGTTCTTCAGTTCTTTTGATGGAGTTGAAACCTGCTGCTGTAGCTGTCCTGGAAGACAGCTAGAAGCAAACAGCTGGGATTCAAACTTGTCAGCAAAATCAACTGTAATCTGCTATGCTTGCAGTTACTAGACCAGTACAGTAGCTGATACTTCATATCAGCATTAGAGTTTTGTATGGCAAAATCCTCCCAAAAACGTACAGGAAGCGTAAAAATGATAAAAATGCAGAATAACAAGTGGGATTTATATCTGTGTGATTCCTTAAACTTCAGCCATGTGCTATCAATATATATATATTCAATCTGCACAATCCTGAATGTGTTAACTCATCATAAAGAATTCCATGAGAATTGACAAAGCAAAGCAAAGGGGGAAGAGGTGGGATCCAATACCAGTAACACAGGGCTAAACACACCACAAATAGTAAATTATCAATCCAATTATTTAGGGAAAGCTATGTTACATTAATGCTTAAGAACAGTTTACTGACTACCAAAAGGTTTAATACACAGAAGGACTGAAGAGTCCAGAATAAACACAGCCCATTTTTCCAGAGGAAAATACAGAATTCTCTTTCAGAGCACAGCTGGAGAGACTCTTAAGTGAAACTGACTATAGAATAAAAGCAGTGGAAGAGAAGTATTAAATGGCAAAAATTTTATCTGCACACTTAAGAGAAAGGAGACAGATGCTCAAAAACTGAAGCTAGAATCTAAAATTTCTTTTCTTCAAGAAGTCCCCAACATTGAAATTTCTATTTCAAAAGCAGCCAATGAATTGTAAACAATCAGTTCCAATCACCCAAGTTCAAGCAGGAACTATTATCACAGATCTGCCAAGTAAATCATTTTCCCTAAGGAAGCAATAAATACTTTTTAATCCTTCCCTCCCCCCCTCAAAACACAGGAATCAAAGCTAAAGGCCTATGGGCATTCAGCATGCAACAAATGAGATTTTAAGTACTGATTTTAAAGGATTTTTTTGCATTAAGAGAGTATGTAAAGAACAAAGCATGCACACACCCTATTTATACAAGCTGTTGCTCACCATTTCTGATTCACGCTGTTGTTACACAGAACTACACAGGTTATCTGTACAAACACCACATATCTCAAACTACTGAATCATATACTTGTAAGACAAATATGCTGGTTTTCACAAAACAGTTTGAGTAACGTGTAGCTTATGAAGAAAGCCTGTCTTGAAACTTCTCATATAGCAAGTAATTTAATATTCTCATTTTTCATGACAGAATTTACCACAAGCCAAGTATAATACATATATAATCCTTCAAAAGACACTAACAGCATGTAATATTTAAACAGTTAATTTCTTACACCAGCAGAAGACATAAAAAAAAAAAAAAACAAAAAACCAACAACCACAGGTGTTTTTTTGTTGTTTAGCTTTTTTTAAAAAAGTGAAATTGTTTCACTTAAAAATTATTACATATAACATATAACGTGTAGACATTTCATAAGAAGACAAAAAGTTCTGACAATTCCAGAAGCTGTAGTTAAGCATTAATTGGCAAATAAAATACTACAATGAACCTGCAGTACTGAAACCTGGATAAACCTTGGCACAGAATCTGAGTAACTGAATATGCAGGCAGAGAAGTAACTTACACTGTCTTGCAAATTCCCATTACCTGTACATGGTAATATTCAGGAAACCTTCAACAATTCCTCCTATTGTTGCCAACCCCCAAATAACACTTAGTTGTTATTTAAAGAGAATTTTCATTTTTCTAGTCTTTGCTGAGCAACTCCTCTTAAAGTCATCAATTCCCTTGAAAACTCTGCAGCTACTTCTGACAAGACTTCTTACCAACAAGAGCCATTGAACCAGATCACAGTTCATGCAAAACACACAGACAATACTTCGGATCATTCCATGCAATTCTCCACAATTAAACCCACCCACAGATACTTCTATATTTACCATATATGAAGTGCATATATATAATATGTCCATACCTTCTGTAGTTGGAAGTAGGTCTTTTCCTTCACTCTTTGTATCTGCAAGTTTCCCTGTTCTCAGCAACACTTCTGCAAAGCTTTCCAAAGAATTGTTCTGGTATGTTCCATAGCTGACTTCAGACTGGAAGTAAAAAGACAACTGACACATGTACTCTACACCTGCATTTTTATTTGGATCACTTGCATGCACCTCAGTTCCTCCATTTGCTTTCCTTTGTTTAATTCTGGGTTTTTTTTCCTACTATAGCACAGAATTTCAAATCACATATATAATCAAAAACTCTGTATTTTCAATTGATATAAGATCTCAACAAAAAACTGCAGACTTCTGTAACCATAACTTACTTCTGCAACATATGGATCATCAATTAGAGACTCATAAAATGGATGACAGCCTTGTTTTTCCACAGTAGCATTTTCTCCAGACCCACTTTTTAATACATCTCCAAATTCTTGGCCCTGGAAAAAAAAAGTATAGTTGAGCCTAACTGTAAAAAAGCTCATAAAAATGCTGTAAACATTATGCAGAAGGGAAACAACTGTAAATGAAAAGATCATTGAATTTAGTGGGGAGCAACAAAGGAGTCATCTTACATAAACCAGTTCTGAACAAGTCCAGTTTTCTTTAAAAAGGAAAGAGAATCGTGTTCAAAAGTTACCACTTGTTACACAGAAAATAGTGGCACAAACATTGTAGAAAAGTCACTGAAATAGAGAAAGTAGAAACAAGAAACTGCAAAGGAACAGCTTTGAATACAAGATGACAGTATTTAAAGAGTGGGCTTTACTGTGCTTTGTTCCCCAAAATTTTAAAGTTCTGCCAAATTTCAATTAGGCCTTCTTACACTATGCTAAGAAAATCGGAGAAAACAGACTAGAAAACAGCTTTAGACCAATTCCTTCACTGGAATGTCCTTGCAAACAGTCCTGTAATGTCTGTAGTTTGTTTACTGATTTGAGGGTTCAGTTATCAGGTCCTACACAGGAGCTGAGTTTTTATATTAATGTATCACAAATGTGTAAACATCTGGGGACACATCAGCAATCCCTTACGTGTAATGGTCGCAGATAAGTTAAGGATTTCTTCCACCACTGCCCATCACTGACAGCATTCAGCATTGCTTTGGTAGTCAGAGTTGTGTTGGACAACACCTTCATGGTTTTGGATGTCGTCCAGTACAACAAATCAGCAGACTGGCCAGAGGAGACGCTGGTTTCATCCTGTGACATATCCAACACACAATGCAGGGGTTAGACTCCTGCTATAATTAGGTTAGTGACCTAAAGCCAAACAAAGGCATTTGAGTTCAGGCACACTACATAAAATAACAAATTTGAATAATAATTAATTCAGGCAGCAGCTGCCAAAAATAAACAAAAGACCAACTAGAAGCGATTTAGGAGTTTCACTGAGAAGTAAGCAGTGTGATCAGCAGAACATTTGGCCCCTTACTTAGTTACGAGAGCATAACAGACAGCACTGGTTTTAATTCCAAAGTTTATAATGACAATGTTCTACATAAATGTTGAATGTTTCCACTAAAATAATCACCTCTCTACAAACATGAGGATCGAGTACACTAAAGTTAATCTTCAGTAATTCAAGAAAGCTGATACTAGAGAAAATCTTATATTTTTACAGAGGTAGCATTAATTAAGTTGAATTCCCAGTAGGGGAAATGGTAGAGATGTAAATACACATCTCTAGACCAAGTGATCAAGTATCATCAAGTTTTGAAATTCTGCAGCTGGCACATAAAATACTGAAAAAACAGCCAGCCTAAAAGTCTACAAGAATCCCAGCCTTTTTTCAATCAGAAACTGCTTCTGCAATACATGCACATATACCTTCACTTAGCATGAACTCACACTCTGTGAAAGCAGAGACATGTTCCACAAATGGAGCTCTCTATACCATCTCTTCCTATGTAAAGCATTTAAATAATACCCAGAACATGTTGTCTGATGTGTGCTATTCCAGTTCTCAATGGTTTGTGTTACTTGCATGCTTTAATATGTGTGTACATTATTCACAAACATATAATTAGCATACTAAGGTAAACACACTGTTTTCACAACAAAACCCGAACATTTTCCTCCATATAGCAAACTTTAACAGCCATATGTTTATTCCTAACAAATGCTATCATTAATTTCCCCATACACTGAATTATATTGAAACAGAAAAATTCTATCTGTATAATTGCATGAGAAGTATTAGTTTATGACTTACTAATTCATGACAAAACCTTAAACATGAGAGCCAAAGCATGCCAAGTTATGCTGAAGAGAAATATATACCACTGTAACCTCAGAAGAAAAATATATCAGCTTCAATAAGGTGGAATTTAATGTAGAAAACCTTATTTTTAGTACCTTTTATTATGTACTTTTACTTGTACAGTAAATTACTGCCTCAAGCTGACCATTTAAGTAGGAGGTTCATCTTAAGTCCTTCAGCATTTGTTTTAATCTTTTCTGAAATCATATTGTGCATCTCACAGATGCACCGCCAATGAATCAACTGGATAAAGTGGGAATTTCGACTCTTGTTTCACCAAATTAAGAAAGTGCATGAGAACAACAACCTGTCAGAATTTTTGCTGCTCTGAAAAATTAAAACCAACTGAAAATCCTATGTCTGGTGGCCTGGGGAGAGAATTTCTTGTTCACCTGCTTTTTAAATAAACCATTTTAAGTACTTAGTAAGACAACTTCTTGCAATTTCAATGTTACATACAGAGTAATAATTCCTCTCTGCCACCAATTTCAAGTAGATGTTGTGACACACCTAGTTGATTTTTCATGGAGGAAAAATAAACCAAAACTAAAACAGAATGAGAAAAAAATCATCCCACCCAAGTTGTCAACTGCATTTGAGCAAAGCACTTTTCTTTAAATCAGCCTCCCCCAGCAGTATGAAAAGTAATGGGCTAACTTGTATGCAGGTGTTAATGCTTATGGCACTACTGATATCAGATAAACTCTAATGATTTTTGTTTAAAAATAATTTCACTCTTACAAGTAATTACAGTTTTTTCAGGAAAAATAGAAATTCTGTTTTCTGAGAAGCCATTTTACTCTGTACCTGGAGCAGCAACACTTACAGGTTACAACTCTTGCTATCTCAAATCAATCTCACAGAAGAAGTTATTTCTTAAGTAACAGTGGAGATCTCATCTCAAAAACCAACTTTAATTGTATAATTTAATTGTATCTTTAGGGAGAAGTTATATTTTGGGGGTTCTGAGAGGTGTTTGAGAGAAATTATTTTTTTTTATTAATTATTCCTGACATTCTTTCTAAAGTAAGCACTTCTGATTAAAATCAAAATAGTAATGGCAACAACTCATTAAATAGCAGCCAAATTAGCAGATTGAAAATCTGCTTGAATCTAAATGGTATTAAAAAAATGACAACCAATAAATTCTGATCAAGTTACTCTAAAATAACAGCTAAAATACTTATATAAATATATACAGCATATGTTTATATTTATACACACCCTTGCTCCTACATACACTTACATAATTCCGAACAGTCTAATGGGAGGACAAATAACAAAGCCAACTGTTTTTGAGATAAGCCATACAAGAGACAGTAATAAATTAGAACAACAGCAGCATGGGTTTTAGGATTTGTTTTGGTCTTTAATGACAATTAATCAAGGTGCAAGGATTAAAACTTGCAAAAACCATACACTGCACATACACTTGGTATGCTAAGAATCATTTTATGTCAAGACTATGAAGGAAATGAAATGAGGCAGAACAGAGTCTGTTCAAAAACAGAGCATCACATATTAGGTCTTCCTTTTCCTTTTTTTGTTACTTCCATTGCCAAACAGGAATTTTAAATAGTCCCTTTTAAATAAGTATTAATGTAAAACCTACATGTATTTTTTGTGCCTTGGAGGGTTTTATATCAGGGATTTTTAGGGTTTTTTTTGATGTCTGTTACAGCTATGAACCACTCGAAGTGAAAACTCCAGTCCTGCAATGATTAACCAGACTCTAAATGAGAGATTATGGAAAAGATTCAGCTCAAGATGACAACACTTATATTCAAGAGTCACTGAATGTCCAGGGCCAGCAGAGGAAAAAAAGAAGTAACCCAGCCATAAGCAGACACAATGCATTAGATTCAGCTGCTGAAACACAGCCTTTGATGACTGCCTGAGATACACAGCAGTTATGAAGACAGCTGCTTAACACCTGCAGATCTGACACAGATATTTTGGAGCAGCAGCTAAAGGACAAGAGCATAACTGATCATGACTCTCCAATAATTTCTAACCAGCTGTGATAACAATGTGTGACCTACCAATTTAATGTAAACAAATGTTCTAAGAGATCCTGTCTTTTCCTTGATACAGTGCTTGGGAAAACTGGAAAAGCAAAGACACTAATGATCTGTTAATCAGATATTTTCTTTTCTTTAAGAAGCCTTTAAGTAATTCATTCTTATAATCTGAATATATGTTCAAATTATAAGAAAATCATTCTTATAATTCGAACATATTCATTTCTCCTCTAGAAAATACATCTACTTTTCCGTCAAGAGTTCATTTTCAAAAAACCTTAAACTGAATTTCTCTTGGGTAATGTGCCACGTAACAGTAATTACACTTCCATATTCGGATATGTAAAAAATAATTATTTCTAACACATGTAAACATAATTTAAGTATTATGCAGATTTAATAAATTCAGAACTCACTTACAAGGCAACTGATTAATATTGTTTTGTGCTTATACACAACACAGCATCTCATATCTAAGCATTTTATTTCAATTTAGTAATTTTACCATAAATATTCTGAAAGGCTTTTCATTAATCAAGAACTTAATCTTCTCACCAAGATAATTTGGTTGAGAAGCACAAGATTAGTTTTTTTGGGCATTTGTAGTACACACAAGTAAAAAGGATGTTGAAGTAAGAAGGCTGAGGATTGCTGAAACTTAACATTTTGCTTAAAAACAATCTGGTACATTGGAATCATCATAGATTCCAGAGCATAACTTCTCAAATGGATTCCATGAGTTCAAACAACAGTGACAAGCTGACACAAAGCTTGTGCAAATGCATTAGCTCGTACAGAATAATGATGTGCAGCTTTAACACAGTATTCATTAATTTCTTTAGAGTAGGACCACCAAAAACTTGGAGAAAAGTTATGCTGAAATCAATATTAAATGAACCATTTCTAAATAGTCTATGACACATATAGCCCGCTCCTATGAAAATCTTTGCAAGTTTTAGGGGAAATAATTTGGAGGAAAAATTGAATGAAAATGAAATTATTTCAGAAATTACTAGGGAAGAGTTCACCAAGACAAAGCTGATGAAAAAGTATGACCAGCTGGTGATGTTGGTTGATATACAGGAAGAAATGGTAGTGGAGACTAATAATTCAATGCTAGACAAAAGTAAGAGGGATAGAAATGGTCACTTAAAGGTTTGAAAAGCAAAAGTGATATACTTACAGATAGGTATTTTGAATGCAATAGAAAAAGGGATGCCCAAATACATGTATGCCAGACCTTAATCAAGTCAAGATAAGAAACTTAGAGCACCAATTTGACAAGGCATCAGTAAGTGAGGAAAAAAAAACATTTGTCAATTCCCTGCAATAAGGATTCTGTAAGTTAATCAGAATGTAAGTGAAAATGAAAGGAATATATGAAAAGGGAAAAAAATCTCCAAATTTGTTTTGTTTTTCTTTAAAGAAACTAAAATTCTGTGTGAGACAATGAAGATGAAGCACAGGGAATTAGATGAAGTGTGACTACAAGGACTGCAGTTATGGGATTCAGTAGAGTCAGAAAAACAGTTATTGAATATATTGCTTTTCTAACACTGCAGATGTTTGTATCAAAGGAGAAGTTATACAGTGAGTAAATTTTTGGCTATGTATCCTCCTGTGTCATTCCAAGAAATGAAAAAAAACTATAAATCCCTATTAAGTCAACTGGGAGATAACAAAAGGACAGAATTAGCAAATATACAGAACTTCCTTTCCTAGTGTAACAGTCTGAAACGCGACATGCCAAGGAGCCTTATTAAAGAAAAAGAAAATACACCTCAGTGCAGCAACACACAAACTTGCCAGGTCAATTGTCTACCTACTTCGAATTCTAAAGAGACAATCAACCACAGCTAACCACAGGGGTGGGGAAATGAAAGCTATATTGGAGAAATTTTTGAATGTCAATTCTCCAGCATAATGAAAATTGCTTCCAATATGCAAACTAAAATGATAGTGAAGTTAATTAGTGAGTTTACTCAACTCTGATAAAGCTTTGAATAAATTTCTGAATCATTTATATGCATGTCTAATTGTTATGCCACAATATAGTACAACAGCACATGAAAGGTGATGCATAACAAATTGTTATAGATATTAAAATACTGTAAATGTATGCATCCACACCCATATCAATTTTATTAACACCTACTTATTCACCTCCCACTCAAAAAGATGCATTTGGATTTCCAGAAAATAAAATGCATTTGTGCCAGTGAAACAGACCTGTTCTTCATATTGATGATTCTGGCAGACACAAAATGTTTAGCCTTCTTCCTCTGAATACCGTTTGTAGTGCTATTTCATCTTCCTGCCATTTATGTTATATATATGCAAATACATACATCTACATGCATGTCTACACAGGCATGTATATACATACATATACATGCACATGTGTATTTATACACACATATACACATGAACATACATAAAAACCATACAAAAGTATGGACATATACTCCAAGGAGGCTGGAACTCTCATAATTTCTCAAAATGCCACCCTATGCAACATGAACCTTCTCTTTCTTTCTTTCCTTCCCTCCTTCACTACCCCCTTTTAATCTCTTCTTTCTTGTATTTCTTTATGGCTTTTGATGCTCTAGATTTATTTATCACTCACCTATTTCATTAAACAAAACACAGAGAAAAGAATAACTTAAATATAGAATTTTTTACTTCCAAGAGTGTGAAAAAAATGCCTCTTTTCATAACTAGGTAAATACTTGTATCTTCTTTAAAGAGAGAAAAGTACTTACAGTTGTACATATACAGACATAAAATAATAAACATAAAAGCAGAAAGATTACTTGCTTCCCGTTGTCCTGCCTGTGGAACACTTCATGTTCCTTGTGATCTTACACATAATTTCACATGCAATGTATGAACATTATAAAGTAACAAGTGATAAACTTTATGATGCATGGAACTAAGGGGAAAAATGAACTTAATTAAAAATATTTTTTGTTAAATATGTATTTCAGGTTTAAAATTGTTTTGCAACTGGGATGGATTAAAAAAAAAAAAAACTACAGCAATATAAATGTCTATTTTAATGTAAGTTTTTTTTCACTTTTCCTGTCTCTGGGTTTATGCTTTTTCCAATGGTGCTAAGACTGTAGGAAGAAGCAACTAAAAATCACAACAAAGTGTAAATACACAAGCAAAACCTTGAAGTTAATCTAACAGAAAGTACTATATGTCTGATGTTGCTCGTTCTATCTAGTAAGCAGAGGTTGCTAAAAACTCAAACTCTGTTCTTCAGAGTAATGTAGAAAAAAGTCATTATTACCTTTAAAATTCACATTAAAACTTACCTCTGTATCCTTACTGATCAACAAAGGCCCAGAGATACTTGAATTCTCACCTCCCTCAGAAGGAAGAAACTGGTAATTCACAGCCTGATAAAGAATCTATAAACATGAAATAAATATTATCTTTTGCCAGTCAAATAAGCCAATGAAAGAATTATGACTGATTTCAGAGGAAATCCAAGAAACTGATGTAAAGGCTTCCATGATAGAAAAGGGGGCAGGAGAAGACAAAGAAGAAAACACAGCATCCCTGACATCCTCTCACTGTTGAGAGTTGCTAGACAAAATGACCTTCCCTTCTCTGTGAGTTTTGTGCAATATTTTTCCCAAAATCTATGATTTATTTTTTTTTTTTACTTTATGTACCGTGCTGTACAATGTAAAGAAATGTCATGAAAACATCCATTATCTGAACTGAGACTCTGAGGCACTGGGCAACTGCACAAAGACAAGCGTTTCACAGGACAGCGGCTTTGTGAGCAGAAGTTCTGCACAGAACTTCCGCCTTCACACGATGCTTGTATTCTCACAGACACTTCTATTCAGGGGATTTAAGGAAAAGGTAACTGCCTTGCAACTGCCTTAATCAGGCTGCACATGTACTGTAGCTATGACTCCCTTCTCCCCTCATTCTTACATTCTGTGTCCAAAGACCTCTAAGATGTTTCTATTACATAATTATAAATCTAAGAGCACTGTGAACTCCTAGACAACTAAGACAATTATGAACTCAAACAAGTCATAGTATGTAGGCCAAGCCACAATTACAGCGAACAGAAATGTAACATTTTGACAACCTAAATTAATGCCCTTCAATTTCAAATAAAACTTCTGCTATGTCACCTTGACATAAGTTGTATTTAAATGCCACAATTACGTGTTCTTACATATATACTGCAGTCAGCTCAACACCTAACATGTGACTCTATCAAGTCAGTCATTGCAGAGTTAATAAAGATTGCTCAGACACAAAGCCTCTTGTAATTGTTAAAACCATTACATCATTGAAATCTGTGAGAAAATAATTGCATACTGGGTAAAGATCACAAAAATCATAGAATAAATCCTTAGTAGACATTTATGTGGGCATTTAATGAAGTTGCCTTACAAAGTATAAATACCTAGAAAATATTTTAAAATATCATCAACTGCATTTTTAAACAAAATGCTTAAATCAGGCAATCAGTAAAGAAATTAAAAGTCCTAAAGAAAACACAACTGCACTTCCACTTCAGAAACCAATTCATCATACAAAACTGCTTAGAAAGAGACCTCATTTGCTGAAATAGAACGGTGAAATTAGAAGAGTAGAGCAAAAAAAAAAAATAAACATACTGGAGGGTAGAACTTAAGGGGACAAACTTGAAAATGAGGCCAAGTCCCCTTTACTTTGGTAGGCACTGAAGTTTGATGAAAGAAGCAGCAGAAACAGGTACCTGGGTTTGCAACGAGCTGCTCACTGCCAGCAGTGCCTCTATGGCACAGGGGGGACAGTGTGTCAGAGCAAAGGCCATGAGCTCCTGGCGCATCCCCAGGTCCTGGTAGCCTTCCGACTGCCCCAGCTGACTGCACACTTCCCAGCTTTTAGAATAGCCTACAAGGGAACACAAACACAATTCCTATCACAGGTGAAAGGAGGATGCCCAATTCTTATTGGATAAGATAAAGAAGGCCATTTGGTATTCGTGTCAAGGCTTAACATCCCTGAAAAAGGAACCATAAAGGCTCCATAAAACAAAGATGTAGCTCAACCTTAGACTGACCAAACACATAGAAGACTATTTTTTTATCATACTGTAGATAAAAGTAAAAGAGGCATCTGTAAGCTTGCATCCTATATTTTTTTACACATTACAATAAGAAAACCATCATTCATTTCAGTGCATGATACTGAACACCTTACTGGAGTGGCTGTATTCCATTTACTTCCACTCATACTGTCACATACACAAATCATATAAACAGCAAAAAGATATAACTAACTTAAGAGTTTTGATAGAAAGGTAGACTTCTGAAAGACTTGCACTTTCCTGTTAGCTGTAGTCACAAGGTTTTACCTATCTGAGAGGGCTACAGTGTGGAAAGAAATAGAAATTGTGGTTCCCAGAGGCATGCAGAAAAGCTCCCTGAGGTTACTATCCAGTAGTTCAGTACACACTTATTCCATGCAGTATTTGCTGTATGTGTCTCTATTCAATGCCAGTGCACTTCCACTAACAAGATCTAAGTGCTATTTTAATGAAATGGAATAATCTGAAGTACCACACCTCACAATAACACCAAAGTCAGAACTCAGATTTCCACCTCCATCACCTCATGTATTCATTATTTATTCACTTCACCTGTGGCCATGAGCTCCTGGCAATGCATACTAGCTGCTTTGTAGTCCTGGAAACGGAGAGCCTGTTCCACTAAAAGGATTAAAACTTGACCTTTTCTCTCCATCTGATCGTCTCCTGTAAGAAAAAAATCAAACTTTTTATTAGTTAATTGTAATTAATGGTCAGCTTAAGCTTGACACTTTATTTCTTAATAATTAACTATATACCAGAACATGAAAAGCCCCACTTGAAACTGAAACAAAAATAATATTATCTGCATTTTCCTGAAGGAAACAATAAAAGGAGTTAGTATTTAAAAAAAACACTGGCATCATAGCTTGCAAAAAACCCCAAACCAATCAGCATGTTATGTCAAAGTTAAAGAAAAGGTGGTTTTGAAAACTGTATTTATGTGTTGGCTGAAGGATCAAAACTGATATTTAAGCTAAGTGACATATAAATCAAAATCCTGACACTGAAAAAAATAATGTCTATGTACTGTAATAGAAGAAAAGAAATGTTTGTTTTCTTATAATATACAAAGACCCATTTTAAACTGCCACTTCATGTCTCCAAATAATGCACAAGATGCAGAAAATGTAAGGATCTAAAAATCTGTTACCTCATAAATTGAGTGAGTAGAACTGAAACCAATTTTTCCATACCATACATCCATCTCAGTCACCAGACCTTCTGGACAATGCCTCTTCCACTAGTTACAAATCTAAAGTTACACTTCAGATACTATTGAAGCCTTCTGACTAAAGTTTCATCACGAATGTTTGTAGAAAAACGTCTTGACCTCAATTTTAATACATCAGCATTTGCAGATGAAAATCTAATGAGACAGCTTTTCTCCATCTCAAAGCCACTTATAGTCAATACAAATAACATTTATACCTGTCACCCTTCACTAGTCATCTATACTTTTTAAAGCTTTTTTCAATTTAGAGTGAACAATTTGCTGGCATTAGTTTGTCCAGTCTTGTGCTCAAAACACTATGTATATGTCCATGCACCCTATGAGCAGGTGACAAAACATACACAGGAAAAATAAACTACTAATTTAGGAAAGAATTTTTAGAATAAAAACAAGCAGATTTTTTTAAATGCAGGCTTCTTGCTCATTCTTCTCCCCTATTATTAAAAGCAATTTTATGCAGTCAGTGTTGTTACAATAATTTGAAAAGGGCACTGGTTTTATCAAACTGTATTACTACAACTTGTGAAATGCAAATATTTCAGAAGGTTAAATCAGATCCAGTTTTGAAAACCATTCAAAGAGTACATGTTTTTAAATTGCATAGCTGTTATTTTTAGATCCATTTTGCAGATCCATCACCACGGACAAAGCAAATTTCTTTTTAAAGCTTTCTCAAAAGGAAAGCTGTAGCAGTTGCACTACAATGACATTCAGGCAAGTGAAGTTACTCTAATTACTGAACTCAATCAAGGCTCCCCTAATCCCTGCACATCATGACTAACTCAGCTGGGAGAACATGTTAGCTTCCCATCATTTTATCTTCCACCCTCCTGCTCAATATACTGCCAGCACTCAATACTGCAAATTAATCACATTCAAGGCTCTCCTGTTGCAAAATTATGCCCTCTGGAACCTGGGAACCTCTCATTCAGGCAAAAGCAATTACAGATGACAAAGAGGTGTTTCTATCCTCACAAGGATAGAACTTGTCATTTCATGTGAACTGTCATTTCTCTAAGTGAGGGATACGTACTTGCCACTCACCTCCTGATGCCCGCTTCACCCTGACAGCTTGACTTCCTACAGAGAGATCTGACTAAGTAGCAGACACAAAGGAAAGTCAAGAGAAACAATCAAACTATTACCCCTCAGATTTCAGGCTAAATAATCACTGCTATTTATGCCCACTTAAAAATCAGTGGGACTGAAAGAAAGAAAAGGAAGAACACTTGGACCAAGGAATGGTTTCTTTAACTGTGCTTGAGCAGCTGTATGGTATCAAGTCCCTCATCCCCAATGTTTCAGCCAAGGACCTCTGGTGCAGGAGGATATATCTGCATGTTTTACAAAAGCACAAGTGTAAAAATAAAAGGATAACTCACTGACGCTTCCATTAGCTTGGCACTCGCTGTTATGGCAGAGAACAACCACGGGCTCCAGTGTTACTCAGTGAATCCCTGAGCGAAGCCCTTTTCCACACACCTTTCATTAACCATGCAGTGGCTGATAATGATCACTGCTGCAGTTTAGTTGTCGTCTTCTATTCAGACATAGAAAAACTCACTGCTTCAGCTTTGTAACACATCATTTGATGGCATTTTAATAATAAAGTCTCATGAAAGGAAAAGTTTCAAATTCTAAATTGTCTCCCTTGCCATTTTGACAGCTATTCATGGCTAAAACCAAGATAGTAATGACAAAATTTTTCAAATGGTGACCTAATTATACTACATAGTAATTCTGCTTCAAGCCTTAATGATAACACCTGACATACAGACTCAAATCAAATTCAGAAACTGGAAAGTAGAAGGGGATAACTTAATGATTCTGAGGTTATAATAAAAATAACAGGAGAAAAAACCATGAAAGCTCAGAAATAATAGAATTTTTTTTCTTGAGAAATAAAGGATATTCAAATACTTTTAAAAAGCTTGTATCCAATCTGGATTATATAACAAAAAAAAGCTTATTGAAATACCTTGGGTAAGATGTAAGCTATTTCTGAGTGGATAAAATAACATTATCCTGAATTAAATCATGCCATTAAAACTTAGAAGTCAAATTATATAAACATTGTACTTCAGAAATTCCATGTTGCCTAGATTTAGTTGATTTAGGAAATTTAGGCGATCAGAAGCCATCTACATTGTTAATTCCAAATGCAAGAAAGTCAATGTTAAGAAAGATGGATTTCAAAAATAAGCTTTAACTAAGGAATCTGAGCAAAGTTTAAAGCTAAAAGATTCACTTATGGATATTAAAATTAAATACATTTACCACAGAAAGTTGTGGTAAAAGAGAATAATGGTAACATTTCTAGAGAGCCTGACAAAGGAAATAATGAACAACACTCAGTATATCTTTTTGACATACAGTAAGAGTAGAGAAGATGCTCCTGATTTCTGATACAGAAGCTTTTTTTCCTACTTTTTTTTTTTGCCCGCATCTACTCGAGTAATTGCATAAAGTGAATTTGTCACACCATTCTTAACAAAAGAACACAAAGTGAGGATTGCAAGACACAGAGCAGCTCCAGCTCCCTGAGCATGTGTAGATTTTCTAGCTGTCATGCTGAGCACATTCTTCCTCACCCACTTTACCCATCTGTGAAATTAAGATAACAGTTGTGGGCTTCCTTTACAGAGGTAGTGACATGAGGCTTAAGTAGAGTTTACTGTAATCAAATACTTTAAAGCAATTAAGAAGCTAGCTGATATATCATTACATAAGCAAGATTTCAGCTTCGTTAAGTATGGATATAAATTCTATAAATCACTTTCAGTGCTGCTCTCAAAGCAAACTAGATTCAGAGTACATAATTCACAAAGCTCCTTAATAATGATTCTGTGCAATTGTATGCACAACAAATGCATTCTTTTAAATTTTAAATTGAAATATGTATGTTCTTAGGATTTTATAGGCTATCACATATAATAAAACACAGCATATGCTGCATATAATAAAACACAGCATATACACAGACATGGACAAATGTAGCAAGCAGGTCTTTACAATCAGTACTTATACACGGTGAAGTGGCAGGGGAAGCAGAGGAGAAAACACTGAAACAAATTCCTCCACTAAGCAGACAAAACACAAGACAACACTTTACAAAGTGGATTTGGAACAGAAGGGACCACAACTTCAAACATCCACAACCAATACCAGTAAGTATGTTCCAGAGGACAAAATCAGAACTTCTTACGCAGCAAAGGTGGCTCATAGATCAAGGTAATTGAGTAAGCAGTGAAAACCAATTAAGGACAAAAATCAAATCTTTCTCCTGGCAGCATTTTATTTAATTCTTCATTAAGTCCATAAAGTTCAATCCTCATTTTCAAAATCCAGACCCATCCCAAAATACCTCAATATAACCATTTGTTTTCATCAGAAGCTGTTAGAAACCACGATACCCTTTCCCAGTAGTTTTACACCTGCATATAAAGACTATCCATACTAAAACTGCAGGGAAGGTTTACCTTTTCTAATATTAAGTTTAAAATAAAATATATTAATTCAAAAATCTTAGAATCTGTATGCAGGATCTGCCTTTTTGTCTGTAAAGCAATTTCTGGAATAATACTAGTGTTTGTTATCACACTTACAAGAGGGCTACCAAGTCCTAATATAACTCTTCATCTTATTAAAAACAGTATTAATAATATTAACTAATATTAATAATTCATTGTTACTCTGAAACTTAAATTACAAGTTGACAGATACATAAATACCATTTCTACATGTCTTGTTTCAATTTATGTTTTTAATCTCTACCATCAAATTATACAGCATTCCTCATTACAGACTATGATTAAGGCTGTACCAGCATTACACTTAAAATCTGTCTTAAAAGGTATTAATAACCTAGCTAGTCATATTCTAAGACTTTTTAAATTAAGGGTAAGGTTACCTATTTTATCACTCATCAGAGGTACACAGAGGACCAAAGAGTAAGGCTCTACAGCCTTTCTTAAATAATTTGGAAAAATATTTACATGCATGCTTTGAAGCTATGACAATCATGTTTCCTTTGTAAGCTACTGGGTAATCTTCTGGATACTTGTCATGGCTAGAGAGTCAGGCACAAAAAATTTGCAGTAACAGTGATATGCTCTTTACAGCTTCCAAATCCAGAAAAACAAGCAAACAAGAACATTTAAAAAATACTGAGTTCCTTAAAATGAAGTAAATCTGTTTTCAACAGACCATCTCCTACAATAATTAGGTTTAGATAAAATTCACAACTATGGCATTCTCATACCAAATCCATATCTTACTCATAAATGAATGTTCTCTACAGATAACAGCTTTCCAATAAAAGCAATAAAAGCATTTATCCTTCAGTGACAGTGAAACAGTTTTTAATCACAAAATCTTAAAACTACATATGTAAAGCAAAATTTGAAAAAAAAATCATCACATCCCCTATTACACAAAGTTGCTACTGAGAATGTTGTCTTGCTGTATTTTGCTTTCAGATAAATATATGTTATTCTATAAGCAAAAGATTACTTTGAAAGTGACCAAGTTACTTGTATATTTAGCATAAGATATAAGTCTAAATAGTGAATTCCTTACCAAAACTCACTCTTGAAATATAAAATTCCTTATTTTCCATAGGAGCAACCATCAGCTTTACTCCCAAGGTTAACCACTGAAGTCAGAGATCCCAACACTTGCAACATAAATATGTCACCAGTAAAGTAAGCAGTAGTTTTTAAACCATTCACCTGTTTAAAAATTAACTATCTCACACATTCACCTTCTGGTTTTCTCTAGCCTGCTAAGTGCATGGAAGAGAAGAATTGGAAGGCATTTCATAATCTGGCTTTAAATATCTCTAAAATCTCTCTTTTCAGTGGTGACTCAGTAGGTGTCACTCTGATTATAACACCAGCACACAGACACTACTGTATCAATGAACTCCATACAAATTCCCTAAAGTTCTCCACATACTATGCAGGGACTGCCATTTTTCAGTCTCTGGAGATGGGAGCCATGAGTTTGATCCCTTTTCCAAGGTACATACCAGGGCACTGGAAATCCTACAGCTAAGGCATTAGGATAACGCTGCTGGACAAAGCTTTATAGAATCTTTCTGCATATTGGTTTTCCTTCTTTCACACAAAGAAAATCACTTAGATTTAAAAAGAAGGTAAAACAAAAATCAGCACCATTAGCACAAAGAACCCAGAATATTAAGAAAAATTCACAGATTTTAACTTGATGTGCGTGGGATAAAGCAGAAAGGAGAAAGAAAGAGTTGTACAGTAATCTTGTCATATGAACCAGTAAGAGAGACTTTTTTTCCCAAAAGCTTTACAAGCAAAGAAAAAGAAGTCACAACTATCAGTCAATTTTTTCTATGGATTACATATTAAATATGTAGATTGGATCCAGCTACCCGACACAGTAGCATCCTGGCCCCTCCTCCATCTTTCATGTAGCAGCACTGCGCTGACCAGAGTTAGGACGTTCCCTGTGACTCCTTTTCTAGGACCAAGATATCTTGAGAGGTCAACAGCCTAATTTCCATACCTCTGTTCTCAACCTCACACAACTGTCTCAAATATCTCCCTCTCTATTTATAATACTATGCAAAAAATTGCCAGTACTAAGCCTCCTGAAAATGTAAGAAAAAAATCTTAATGATTTAACAAACAGAGAGGGAGAAAAGAATTAGCCAGGCATGTTTTAGTGACAAAGCTGGAATGCATTGATTTTTATATGCCATGCTGCATAAAATAGAATTTTTTTGTATTTTTATATTCTATTTATACATCATAAAAATGCAGCATTACTGTGTTTTCACTGCATTGATTAAGGATTTTTCAAAAATAAAAAAAAGTCAAAAGGCTACTTTAGGTAGGCTATTTAAAAAAACCCATTAAAAAATCCTCCTAATATCCTCAGGATTCAATATTTGAAGATGATCAGCTCCTCAAATGAATACTCAACTTAATGCATTATTTTTGGTGCACAAAGGAGATATGTGCAATATAGATTGAAGTCTAACAGCTGAAATTCATGCTTTACAGATTATTTTTCCCCCGTATCTAAAATGCAACTGTTATTATATCGGGCTACCTTATTTGCCGAGGTAATAACAATCACCAATTTCAGTAAATTCACTACCAATTACCTATAAAACAAGATATTCTCAGCCACAGCTCCTCCAATCTGAAATCAGCCTTTACTCCAACTCTAGATCAGACAAGGCATTTTTTATTTCAAGTATTAGCAGAACGTAGCAGCTGACCATTTCAGCTGTTTTATAGATTAAATATTCCACTCGTGTGAAATGCTTCATTCCTCCCCAATGACTGCTCTTCCAGGTGACTTTTTAGTGGTATCCTTGAATACATATTCTAATGATCAACTCAAATGTCCTAAAGCATAACATAAATGCTCACTGCACTGCAGTTCAGTGTTTTATTAACACAGCTTACCTGCAACCCTTAGCAGGTTTGCCAGTCCCAGGAGCTTAGCAGACTGTTTATAGTTTGTTGACATCTGAGCCAGACAGTCCTTGATGAGACTGAGTCGATCGGAGCACAAACGCACTGTTGAAAGGAGAACTGGTTTAGAGACTGCACAAATGAACTTGACTGCTGTGCTCCTGCTCAAACAGCACAGGACAGAAGGAGTGCTGGGGAATGTAAGAATGCAAACACAATGTGAAAACCAGCTCAGAGCTGCTTGCATGCAGATCCTCAATTACACCTATAAAGAGAAAGTTAAAATAACACCACAGGGTATGCAGCTCCCGTCATTAGCAAGTCAGGCTGTGAAGGGAGTAAAAAGAGAAAAACTGACCTGAATGGAAACTCTTTTTTGTTTCATGTTTTCACATTCACTCTTTTAAAATGTGTACAATTAATTGACATACCTTTATACAATTTTTCTTAATTATGAGTTTTGCAACATCCCATAAGACTGCTAACACAGGCATTAACTTTTACTTAAGAATGTTGCAACTAAGATTTCATTTATTTAGCACGTACAAGACACATCACACAGACTGAAAGAACTGTCATTAGCAAATGCTTCAGCTCATTTTAATTTATTTGAAAATTTCCTGAGAAGTGGAAGGAAGGATAGTCTGCAAATCACCAGGTTCTTTCAACCATATCCTGAGCAGCTTATAATAAGTACTGCATTTAAAAAGAAAGCTTACCAAGAATTAAACAATTATTTTAACTGCATAATTTAATATCATGAACTGATTCCAGTGCTCTATTTAGCTCGTTAGTGGGTGGCTAACTTCAGGCTGCTGCTCTAAAAGGTAATGCTTTCATACTATGCAAGTTCTCAGAACAAAGAGGAACAACATGCAGATATACGGCTTAACACTCAGTAAGAGTGACTGGCTGCATGGGGATAAACTGCATTAGCATATTAGGCTTAAAACAGGATATTAGGCCTCTCAATAAGCAAAGACATATTAGTATAATGAACACTATTAATTCTGGAAATTAAACTAAAATGAATATGAATGGAAGAGCAGGAAAAGGTCATACTTTTCATTTAATTTTTAATATTCTATCACAGGCATATATTAGTATACAACAATAAAATGTTTTCAATCACTGATCATTTAAGCAGGAATTTTTAATGCATAATATAAAAGTAATCTGATATAATACCATGGGTCAAATACTTAAAGATGGACTTGTCTTCACATTTTATTTTAATAAGGAGTCTTCAAACCAGATTTTATTACAATATAGCATAATGGTAGTTCATAAACTTAAACTGTTAAATTTGATAAAAAGAGAAGTGGGGAAAGATCCACAGATAACTAAACACAGAACTGCAAATAAAAGTCTACTGCTGAAAGACTATTGCTGCATCCTTAGTGTACTTTAATGACATTCTATCAGAGTAACAGATCATTTAAAGCCTTTCATTAAAACTTGAAAACATCATTTTAATCTTATTAGATTAATTTGATTTACATGAAAGATACTGAAGCAAGGGTAAGTCAGGATCATTAATGAAATTACATGCCTGATTTCACATATTCTAATTAATCTAGATCAGTCGTATTACACATTCTGTTAATGAAGCATTATGTCACTACTTTTTTAAAATGATACCTCCATGTCCACATCAAAAAAAGTTGAAGAAAATACATGCACTTTTTCACAGGCAGAACAAATAGACTGAAAAGTAATTTTACTCTAGAAATCAAGAGAATAGTTGATTTCTGACTGCAAGATTTAGAAATCTGACGGTCTCAGTCCAGAAATTTTACGATTTCTGAATATAATATCTGGAGCATGAATTAACTTGAATAAATACCTGGAAAAAAGGAGAACAAAAAGAGAACACCAAAGCAAAGTAACAACAGCTGCTGAGAACATTTACTTCATTTTCCACAAATTAGAAAGCACCAGAAGTGCTTTTCATAAACCCCAGTATTTCTCTGCACAATGCCAAAAGTAAAACATTATCATCAGCACATCTCATGGCTTAGTGCTCGTCTCAGCCAGTTCCATGAGTAGGGTTCATGCAATGTCATTGTACATAACCATAACTTCTTTCCAACCTTTGTCCAACAACATTCTGTTCCACTGGATTTAGAACTACAAAAGATTTCGTTTTAGGCATGTCATCAAAATAAATACCTTGTAAAAGTTCACTTCCACTGTCACTGGGTTTTATATACTTCACAATGAAACAGCCCAGTGGAGACATGAAAACTGCCTCTGCATGAAGTACCTCTCTCCTACCTGTTATTTTAAAGCACACAGGCAAGTGCAGATGATTTGGCAAATAAAAGATGAGCTCAATTTCTGTTCAAGTCACCAGGAGTTTGATACACCAAAATGTCCTGCTAGAAGTCAAAAAGCAAAGACACCATATGCAAGTATTGTTCTTACCTCACAAGGTAAAAAATTCTATTAAAAATGTTTTTTTTCTGTATGTCTGTAAACTGCTTGGAGGAAGTATGGACTCTTTAGTTTAATCATAACACACTTATGTAATAGTATCTATTTCTCATGCATATTTATGCCTGTGATTCAAGTAATCATATAAAGAATAAAATTATGCAGTACCTTGCAGCGGTAATATTTTCACACCAAACTCTTCCAGGTAGCCCAGAGCACGAATGAGGTCCAACTCCTCCTGAACAGCACTTGGACTGTCTTCAATAAGTTGCAGACAACACCTAAGTAAGAATGAAAGACATTTTTCTGAAGTCTGATGAAAATATTTAAAATTAAATTTGTGGCAGAAGTTAACTGGTGAGAAAAAAAAAAAAAAAAAGCAGTAATTTACTGTGCTTATGAAATGTCAGCATATTTTTGTAATGCACATGGGAGGTGTTTGAAACAGTCTATTAGCTGTCTGAATATTTTAACAAATTTATATTTTTGCATTGCCATCAACGGGTTGTTATAAGCACATTAACTAAACCCTCCTGCATTTAGATCTGCAATGAATTTATAGATGACACTGAGGGTATAAGTACTTAAATACATAATTATTTTGGAAAATATTTCTCCTACCACTGTCATGTTTTGGTACTGCCATATAGTAGAAGATAAAAGCAAAACCCTGTAAAAAGTTGACTGGAAGTGAAACATTACAAGTCATTGTCACAAAATCAGCTTCTTCAACTAGGTACAGTAAATAAAACAAAGCTTATTAAAAAAACCAACAAAAAACCCCACTAAATTCCTCTGAAGATTAATTAATGCATGAAATTGTTAAGAGCACATAATTCAAAATGTATTTTTTTAATCATATGAATAGTATGTTCTTGTAATAAGCTTTTAGATAGTTTTTTTAAATAGAAGCTGCATTCTGTTACAGTGTAGTCATATGTAGTTTTACTAATACCCATTGAACAAAGAAAATCCACATGCAAAATTATAGAATCATAGAACGGCCACATGTTGGAAGGGACCTTAAACATCATCTAGTTCCAAATCCCCTGCCATTGGCAGGGACACCCCCCACTAGACCAGGTTGCTCAAGAGCCTCATGCAATCTGGCCTTAAACACCTCCAGCAATGGGGCATCCACAACTTTTGGAGACAACCTGTTCCAGTGCCTTATCACCCTCACAGTAAAGATTTTTTTTTTTTTAAACATCTAAATTAAACCCAGTCTCCTCCAGCTTGAAACCATTACCCCTTGTCCCACTATAGGCCCTTGTAAAAAGTCATTCTCTGTCTTTCTTGCAGGCTTCCTTTAGGTACTGGAAGGACACATTTAGGTCATTCCAGAGCCCTCTCTTTTCCATGCTGAACATCCCTCATGAACATGCCCCAAATCCCTCAGATTTCTTCACAGAAGAGGTGCTTCATCCTTCTGAACTCACTCCAACAGGTCCATGTCCTCCCCATGCTGGGGACCCAGGGCTGGGTGCAGCACTGCAGGTGGGCTCTCACTGGGGCAGAGCTGAGGGGCAGAATCCCCTCCCTCTTCTGCTGCCCACGCTGCTTTTGATGCAGCCCAGGACACGTTTGTCATTCTGGGCTGGAAGGGCACATGGCTGGGTCATGTCCAGCCTCTCAACAACAGCACCCCCAAGTCCTTCTCAGCCAGGCTGCTCTGGATCTGTTCATCCCCCAGCCTGGGGTGATAGAGGGGGCTGCCCAAACCCAGGTGCAGCACCAGCACTTGGTCTTGTGAACTTCATGAGTGTTACGAGCTTGTCCAGCTGGCAACTCATCTCTGTTTAAAATGGCTAAAATCACCATACACATTAGATCAGGAAAGTATATGATTTGTCCAGTCTGTCATATTTTTTCTCCACACTTTAATTAATACACATTTTCAATCAAAAAAAACTTGTGTGTTAGCTAAAGATCCTATCTGAACCCATCAGATTTTTCTGGCATATTGATAAATATTTCAGGGTGAAGATTAAAATAGTAGTGGAATAAAGGAGTTACAGAGAAGCTGGAATTGTCTGCTCAGGGAAGTGGTGGAGTCACCATCCCTGGAAGTGTTTAAAAATAGACTAGATGTGGCACTGTCATTGTTTTGGTGATGTGTTAGGGCATGGGTTGGACTCAATGATCTTCAAGGTGTCTTCCACCCTAGTGATTCTGTAAATACATTCTACCTAAAGCAACTCATACACAAAGGCTACTAGGAGACCTAAACACAATAATCATTCACAGAAAAAAGTTAAGTTACCAACTGATTGAAGGTAAATCAGAGGAGGATGAAAACGTTGCTAAACAGAATAAACACAGGGTCATACATTCACGGCAAGTATTTGAGCTATAAACCATGTATTTTGAAATATCACCATAAGCTGGTCACAGAACCCTTATGCATTAAAAGCAACACTACTCTTTACTTCCAGAGCCTGCTTAGGAAAAAGATTCTCAACAGAAGACTAGGAGGGGGTGGAACGCAATACTAGCAAATAAACCCTAATGCTTTGACAACATAAAATCAGTTGTGTTTATGTGTATGAAAGCTGGACATTTACCTGGCCAATTCCATACAGCTATCAGTCAAACTGGCTGAAGAATTGAAATACTCTCTACCAGCAGCCAAAACCAATTCAATGCTTCGGGCATAGCTGACTCGGTAGTGCGGCTTCCCTTTTGATGAACTTGGTAGATCCACTGACCAAACACTGCAATGCATCATTTGCCCAGCCAGGTGGATATTGTCTATGCTGCTTGAGCATAAGAGACTTTCAGTGAATATCTAAAAGAAAGAACAGTAATTTAATAACCTGCAGCAGCAGCTTCAAATAAGCTCATCTGCATTGTATGGCATTAACCCCTTTGAATACAAGGATGTTTGAAGTCAAAAGAATATATTCAGTCCAAGCAGAAAATCTAACTTCTACCAAGGGAAGTATTTCTACAATGCACTTAAGTAAAGCTAAAATTAACTAGTAGCTAGTTTCTATTTATTGGAAGTTTAAAAAAAAGCATATTAACTGTCTTTTTACAGTATGACTTAAGACCTCAAAATACACCTACATTCTGAGGTGTTAGTACAAAGTAAGAATCTGAAAGGGCAGTTCAGTATTAAGGCCTTAAAACCAACAACGTAAGAGAAGAAATCCACAAGTGGATTATCTTCCACTTCACAACATATCAACCCTCAAGGAACAGCACGAACTGCAAAATATCACAGCTGACCCTTCCTCCTCAAAGATCACACACAGAACATTTACCTCTCTCAAAATTTATCAAGTCAAGAGGACAGAATTCACTATGCATGGAACAAGAAGAGTGTAAGTATCATGCTAAAAAATACACAGGATTGATAAATTAATGAGATGGTAAGAATTTGCAATTTCGAAGTTATCAAAGCATAATTGCATATGACACCACTACATTTTAAACCATTTTCAGCACTCCTACATAATTTTTTCCAAAAACCCTTGGTTGAGTTTGTTCTTTAATCATGTGTTTCAGATTTTAAAAAAATAATGTTAACAGAAAACTTACATTAAGATCTGAATAAAGCAAATGCCTTATTTGCAGAGTGCTCTAGTATTACAATTTATTAACATGCACTGAAAAAAAAACTTCAAGGACACTAAGTTGTAGCCTACCACAAAACCATGACTATTAAACATGTTGCAGTTTTTTTAGCTTCATATAGAAGCTGAATAGCATTGTCTTTTTTCTTTTTTTTTTCTAATTTGCTTTTAAAACTTCTCCTAAAAGCTACTCAGAGGGGTAGACAAAAGCAATTAATTCTGTAAACTGCAATAAAACCTGCTTCTGTACAGATATAAACACTAATTATAAGTGACATACTAATGCATCTGTAATAAACTGCAGAACATGGAAGTGAAAATGTAAATAAACAATATATGTCACAGCAAATTCTGCATCTGTCTAACAGCTGTCTTTTGCAAATACTAATGACAGGGGTTTGGACTTCATGCACATGCAAGTGTTTTTACCTTCATTCAAATTAGATTTCTCATCTCACATAATTTTACTTCAATTGCAAGCAGAAAGTCCATAATCCTATAATGATCTTGGATAATATCATCAAACCAAAACTCCATGTTTAAGAAATGCTTGAGCGACGATAACATTTTATTTTCATGAGTCTGGAGTGTTTATTGTCAAACACATTTGTACACAGAATTACAGGCTATGTAAGAAAATCTCACAAAGCTGACTCAATTTCTAAAAAGTTGAATTTTAATAAAAGATATACAAGGTATTCACTAAAGGGGCTTTAGATAAAATGAATAAGCACCAGAAATTTTTTACTTAAATAAAATATTCTGAAAAAAAGGCAGTAGACAACCAAGTAACAAGAGAGAAAAATGTATTTACACCTGTGAACAATATGAAATAAGAATGTGTAGCTAACTTGGGACATAAGTCAGTAAGGAGACATAACTCACCTCATAGCAAGTATCTGAATGTAAGCACCTATACACTTTCTGCTGCATGTCCAGCATATCCTGGAGCAATTCCTTCCACTGCGTCTCACCAACAGATGGTTGCCTAAAAACATTTTTTAAAATTAAATACTCTCTTCCCCAATAATTTTAAAGAAAAGCAGTAGATTTCCATAACCAAAAATATAAGTTTCCTCAAACTTTATTTCAAGATTTAATTAGAGTCTTAACCAGAAGTGATTCAAAGACAGAAGGCTTTTAATATTAATTAATATTAAAACAGTGTCTGTGGGATAAAATAGCTTGAATACAATGCAGTACCCAAAGTTCTTTTTTTTGTTTTCTCTGGGATAAGACAGAGATTTAAGCAATCTTTCTCAAGATCCCCCAAGTGGGTTTTGATAATGTTCCACAATATATCAGGAAGTTGGAAGTGCTATCTTCCTGCTGATAGGGGAACTGCAGGGCAAAACCAAGTCTGTAACAGCAACTGAGGATAATTAAACTGCTGTTCATTGTAGGCAATCTCAAAGGACTAATAAATGGCATGCAATCACAGGAGAATAAAGCAACTTGATTTTGTTTCTTAAAATTGAGTGATATTCAGATTCTTGACCCTCTGGATCTCTGTTTATCCACAAAGCTTCAATTTCTTGTGTTCTACCAAAACTTTCACTAGTAAAAACACTATGAACATTTTTTGACATTATCTTGAGCCTTTCAGATTAAAAAAGGACCTTTTTAAATTGCATGAGCTAGTTCCAGCTAATAGTGATTTTTTCATGTGGCATTAGCTTTTACTTTGGCGAAACAAAAGGTCTCCAACAGAAAGGGAAAAAAATCAACATTTTTCCTACAGAGGCATTGTCTTGATCTTTCTAAAGAGAGGTTTCTAGAAGTCTTAAAAAGCTTTAAGACTACTGAAAGTATAAATACTGCTCTACCATAATGGATAAATTGTTGTGCATATTTGCTTTAAATAAGAAAGACAAATCACCCACAGTTACAGCTGGTTTTCCCATTATTCAAAATTTTTATCTGCTTATACCAAGGGCCATTTAATAATTCATATGCAGTTGAAAGATGAGTTAAATGAAAGATGAGTTAAACTAGAAAAATTGAAAAATTATAATGGGAATATATTCTACTGGTAGAATCAATACCTAAAATCAAAAACTAACCCTATTACAAGGATTCCAAGAAAACGTGCCAAAAAAACCAAAGAATTATTTTACAAATCCTTCACTCTCAATAAAATTAAATAGATCTTAAAGGATTTTTTTACAATATGTTAACTTTCACAGTTCATCATTCTGCCGTATTTTGCAGCCAGTATGCATTTTAAGCTTGTTTACTTGAACATGAACATACAAAGCAGGTTTGAAGGCAGGCAGAGATTTTTGCCTGGGGAGAATGCAGCCAGAACACTAATCACATTAATCATCAGTTCAACAAAAGTTGTTTATGTACATTGTCTGCAGGGTGACCACCTCAGCTCCCTAGTGCCACAAAGCAGGCAAGGCAGGCTCTGTTACCTCACTGCCTTTCCCCTCTTCTCCCCCACTCCCCTTGGAATACTAACTTGCGACCTGTGTGCCTGGTCAGCCTGATCATCAGCTTCCGAGCCTCCTCTGCACTGTCCTTGGTGTCCTTCACAAAGGAAACCGGCTTCTGCAGGCCGTGCTTCTCCAGCAGCTCCGCCACACTGCAACACAGGCAGCCTTTCGAGCCCTGCACAGCTGTGCAGCTGCTGCTGCTGCAGCAGGACTCCAAAAGCTCTCTCAAAATATGCACTGCAAATGCAAACAGCCTCCAGAAAATCTCTTACAGTATAGATTAGCCAGAGCAACATTACCTAAATTTTTAAAAATATATGTATATTAATAATACTTTAGGGTAAACACATACCACCAATACTTGATGACATATCTACAAAGTTTTAGTCTTTAATCACTCAAAGCATTACAGAGTATCAAGATCAAAAGAAACTCCTCAGGTTAACCCTCTTCCTCCTCGACAAAAAAAAAACCACCAAAAATAAAACAAGTAAAAGAAAAATCCCCAACCAAATTAAAAAAAAAAATCCCCAAGAAAGCCCCCCCGCAAAAAAAAACCCCAAAACAGAAAAAACAAAACATAACCCCCTAAACTCTTATTCCAAGAAAAATATCTCTAGAGATTTATAATATTCAAATAGATAAAACCATTCAAAATTTCTATATTCAGACTATAAAAAACATAAAGATCATCTTGCTGACAGCATTAAAAAAAAAAAGATTAATATTTTTGCTGGTTTCTTATCATAAAGAGTTCTTGACTCTGCCTAGTGATTTCTGTAATAACACACTATTTATTTTAGAAAAATTAAATACCTAAGAATTTGTTCCAGTTCATCTACTTCATCATGAAGAGTGTTAATTTTATCTGTTGCAGGCCTGCAATGATATCACAACATTAAATATATACATACACACATACTCCTTATAATTTCCTCTTGTAATTCATATCACATAGAAATGAAGATAAGCACTCTGACACACTCCTTGATTAAAATCAAATATATGTTTACTAGCAAATATTAAAAATGTTTGGCTACTTGCTGTAAAGACAATTAAGATTTAGAAGGTCCCTCAGTCTTCCAAGAGCAAAGGTCTTCCTTAGACTTTTCTTGGTTCTCTCTTTCCTTTATTTAAAAGATACTGGAAGAATAGTTTGCACCTCACAGATCACAGGATATCTCCTCTTCAAGCTTTCACTTTCTTGAGCATTACTTGTCCCTCAATATACTTTTCTATTTTCCCTCTCTCACAGGGATGTATTGCTGCTTTTAAGTTAAGAGCAAGATGCCACTATTGTAACAAAACCAGTAAAACAGGAGTAACACTTGGTCTCAATTCATCAGGCTGTAAAAGTCTAAGAAACAACACAGAAGTCTAGGCTGCTACTTTAACTCTTGTTTTGCTGCATTAACTGGTATAGTATGTACACAGCAGAAGTATATAGATACACACATTACAGTCATGGCAGCTCAGAGGTGAATAGAATATTCCAGTAACTCTGTCTGCCCTTTAGTAACTTAACAACCCTTTTTAAAGCATTCATTCACAACTATATTTAATATTTCTAAAATGTTTACAAATTACTAGCTGAAAATGCTTACCCATATCCTCTTTGTGGAAGGCATTCCAAAATATCATAACAGAGAGAGAGTTGGTCATCTCGCTCACAGCTGTAAATACACTCCAACGCTGTGATCATAAGCTGGTCCTGATCAGGAATAACTTTTGGCTGACACTAACAAGAAAAGAAAATAAGCTGGTTTTTATTTCTTGCTTCTAATTCAACAGTTAATTTTCTTCTGAATATAAAAATATGTGTACTCCAAGTAAATAAATTGTCTTCAGGTGCAATAAGAATATCTTTTGCTAACAACCTGGTAAAGTCACAACCAGAAACTTATCTTGGCTAGTTTTCTGCAGCACAGACACTTGAAAAAACAGGGGTATGCCATTATACCTTTTCTGAATTTGAGAAGTGGAAAGGGTGCAAGACAGAGGAAGGCAACTACTGCAAACATTTGTCAAACTTACTTAAAATGTACAACAGTACCAACATACATAAAAAAGCTGTGGTTGTGCTTTGTTGGTTGATTTCTGTCCATACACTCAGAACATTCAATAGCATGCAAATATGTGCCTGTGTGCTCTGGAATAATTATTTAAACCAAAGAAGCAGCATGAAACACTCACACAGAAGGCAGCTTCAACCCTTACTCACTGAACTCTCACCTCAATTCTAATGGTCCCCACTTTATTCTTTACATTTGCTGTGGAGGCAGGAGAGGGGGAAGTAACTTGAAATTTACTCCTAGTAAAATTCCTCAAGAAAAAAAGTGAGATCCTTAAACTTTTTCCACTTTTTATAAAGGAAATATGCCAGGAATTTACTTTAAACAGGTCATCAGGAAATTACATAGAAGAAGAATCCATTCAATTTTTATTTTATCCAATAATTTTTATTCTACTAGGCGAGAATCATTATTACATTAATTTGGAAGTCTCATCAAGGACAGTTTAGCTGTATTGTAATTTATGGTAAAAAACTTTTAAATTACTGTTTTCTAAAACAAAACAAATCCTGGGTCCAGGAAAATGGGGAAGATTAGAAGGATGATGGAACTTAGATGGACTATTTCTGAATTAATCTCTTCAGGACAAGAATTTCCAAAGAAACCAGCAGAATCAACAGAGCTCTTTACTTACATCAGGTTTTGAATTCTGAAATATCTTCAGAGGCAGAGTCAAGTCTTCCTTTGCCAGTGTTACTAAATATTCTTTAAAAAGGGCATTTGCTAGACCAGGTGACTGATTTTCACAGCGGTGAAGAAAAGGGATCATCCACTGATAAACATTCTTCACGTATTTTTCATCCGAGGACTGGAGAGCACAAAGAGTTACAGAGAGGAAATATGAGAACATGTCCAAAACAAACAGAAAAAGCAAAAAACAAAGGGAACCTTTTTTGATCAATGTAACTGAAATAGTTATCTTCACCTATCACAAAGAGATCACTACATCATGAAGCACTGAAACAATCTTTCTGTTACCCAGTGGTTTGGGGAAACTGAGAATAACAGGAGGAAGGTCCATTACATGAGGAAAGCCTGTCTTCCTTCTGCAGTTTCAGAATGAGTGAAAGACTGTGCAAGCATGCCAGAGTAGCATTCTTTCAGTAATTCAGCAAGAATGCAAGATAGAAAAACAAGTGATGAGTGGCTACATAAATCCAAAACCAAAACAAACAAACACAGACAAACCCAAATCCACCTCCCCCCCCAAAAAAACTCCAAACAAACAATTATATTTATTTTCTGAGTATTTTTTTCTGAGGCTTATGTGCTCTTCAACTGAATTTCAGATCCCTGTTCCATCTCTAGCTATTTTTCAACCCTTCTAAGAGGTTTTTTTCTTCACTGGAATTCCATGCTCAAGCTCAACACAGAGACAAAAACATATAATACAAAATATATAAAAGTACTTGACAATATTTAAAGACACCAAAATACATCCAAGAAGCACATTCAATGTTGTTGTATCTGCAGCATCATTAAGAGCTACACTGAAGATCCTTAAAAAAAGGCTAATGAAAAGGAGATCCACATCTTTCAAAGTAAGATTTATTGAGTCCTCAGCCAGGGATAAAGTGGGTCTTTGAGAAAACTGAGCAAATTTAGCTTTTGTTGGAAAGAAAAAAAAAAAAATAAACACTAAAAAAAAAAAAAAAAAAAAAAAAAAAAAAAAAAAAAAAAAAAAAAAAAAAAAAAAAAAAAAAAAAAAGTGAAAATGTAGAATTTTTACTGAATTAAAGATGGAGGTTCACTAGAAAAATGAGCGTCTTTATATACATAGCATCCAGGGTAATCTGAGTTACTGGATTTCAAGGTATGTTTATTGATTTGTTCAAAATACTTACATTCTTCATCAACAGTCTCAGCTTCTCAATGTCCTTCATCTCTAGAAGTTCCTTCAAAGTCAAAGTCCGATCACCATCAGTCTCATAAACCACTGTCTCAAGAGTGATCAGATTGTCACAAAGCACCTGCAGACCAGGAATGTTCCTCTCCATGCCAAGACGAACAAGGGACAGAGCACAGTCAACCTGAAAAATAATTTTAAAAACACTGCTGTACAACTGTTTGCCAAACACCAACTTCAATCTGACTCCTGTCTGAGCACCTATTTTATTCCCGTTTCTTAATTGGCAATTTGAAGTTCCTAAAAGTCTTTGTGGACTTCATATTCCTAAATGAATTGCCCATCTAACCTTTATGAAGACCACATAAAATGCTTAATCTTAGGGGATGATACTGTTATATGCTTTTAACCAAGATGCATCATATAGATGCATGGATATTAGAATATAAGTCCTTCTGGAGATCACACATAGCTCATCTCAGTATATGGAATATGAAGACTTGCTTTAAACTAAGACAATCAGGTAACTAACATGCAATATGATTTTTCTAGCTGACCATGATTTAATAATTTTAATTGTTGTATTTTATATCACAAAAACCAATTACAGTCTTTCTCCAGTGCCTGATATTACTGTTATATGAAAGGTTCTGTTTTGATTTCAAAGAACACAATATTGCCTGTAAATATTCCACAAGGCAGACATAAGCCTTGAAGAGAATGCAACTGATTTATATGTTACATAATTTAATTGATTTGGAAGTTGCTTTAATTTTCCATACCTACTGACTGCTTGTTAAGATCACAGGCAACTATGTTTAAAAAAGAGCCCTGGTGGAGTCAAACTTGCAGAAACTTCCCAGAACTAACTATAGTGATACATCCAGTCACCCTCTTTTTCATGCAGCTAAATTGCTTTGAGAAGCAATAAAATACCAGAGCACACAAGTGATGAGCTCTGCTCTTATGTGCAACAGAGCTTCAAACACTTTTAACATATAAAGAAAATCAAGCAGAAATAAGATGCATGGTAGTCCCACAGACACACAGTAAAACTGCCAGTAAGAAGTCATGACAGTACCATTTATTGACATGGCAGTGACACGTGTGACAGGCATGTATCAATATACATAGCACAGCAGCATGTGACCGGTCATAAAACACGTTCCCAACATGCTGCGCACAACTTTCCCTCCCTTAGTTACAATCATAAAATGCAATGATAAACGCTTCTCATGGATTACAAAAGACCTACTGTCAGCTATGTTAAACCAAATGAAACAGAACCTAGTGGCTTCCTTATTCATTTCTATGGATTCATTATTTGGCTGAGTAAATTTCAGAGCAAGCCTAAGTACACTGCAGAAGAAAAAACAAGTACTTCAAAAGCCATAATGAAGCTGAGACAGTGTGTACATTACTGAGGGAAAAGTGTCCTATTAATATGCATTAAGATTGTTAAGGATTCTGTTGAAGAAGGCTGCTCAGCCACCATCATTTCCTCACTGCTATTCTCACCTGCATTGCATATTCTTCAATTTCCTGTGCTCTGCTCAAATACCAGTCAGTGACGAGATCTACAGAAAGGTCAGTAGTCCTGTACTTCAGTAACTCAGGTTGTTTTTCGTACAGAAACTGGCCTTCATCTTGCGAAGTGGGTTCAATAACCATCCTTTCAAAAAAATAAGTATACGTTTAAGTACATATTTGTTTACCACTATTTTTTTCTCACATCAACCTTTTTCCTAAAACTTCTGAAAGAAAATTATACAATCAACCTACCACAGTGAGTGTTAGTTTTTGCCAGCAAAGGAACTACTAAGAGATTTTGAAGAGGAGCTAGATCATGAAAGAAAGAATCCTCTCTACTGAACTAGTAAGAGATTTCAAAAATGTGACAGATGATGAAAGAAAGAACGCTCTCTACTGAAGATCTGGGTTTGTAAAACCTCTGCTTTCCATTTGGCTCAGTCAGTCTCCCTTAGAAAGCTGAAAACACAAGTTAGTGTGTACAAAAATAGTAAGTGAGTCTTACTGGGTCAATTCCCACATTTTAAGAATTAGTAAATAAATTCTTTATATTTTTGCTTTTATATCTATTTACCTGCATTCTTGTTTTTCACACCAGTCTTCTTCACGATGTTTCTGCTCATTCCAAGGAAGAATTTTCAATGTCCCCTTTTTGTAGCTGGTATGACAAAAAAAGAGTAGTTTTACATAATTTTATGTACTTTTAATTTGTTATGACAACTGAATTAATGGAATACAAAGCATACAAAAATATTTCAGTGAATTCATAATAAGCATATTAGTCTATTACAGTATCAATTATTTAAGATTCACTATTTCTTAGTGCAGCTTTAAAAGCGTGGTTTTGCTTGTATGTTATCCATACAAACCCATATTCTACCTATACCATTAAAGAGCAAGTAAAACAGATTAAGAAATGTTCTTACTGACCATGCTTTAAAAAAAGGAAAAAACTCATTATATACTTTCAGAGTTTTTACCATTTCACACTAAGTATTCTGACTTCATATGCTGTCACAAAAGACTGAAAAGAGTAAAAACCTATGATATTCACAACTTGAAAAAAAATACAAATGTTCAAATTTTAGCACAAATCCTCATACTGAAAATATATATGCCCTGCTGTGCTGATCTTCTCAAGTTTAATGTGAGGATTACATTAAACTGACTACAAATTTCTACAGTGAAACATTCTCTAAAAACCTGTTTAAGATGAAGGTTAATAACATAATGGATTATTACTAGAATGATTAGCTATGGCTTGGTGTAGAAGGCTAGCTGTTTATGCAGCATAAAATACTAGAAAACCATGTTGAGCTATGCAGAACATAAACCAATGGAGTTTATGAAGAGAAGAACTTGTCCATAATGGGACAGTGACAGACTTGTCTGGCACGAGGGTCGCAGACTAATCAAGTATGAAGGGTTTGAAGAGACCCCCTGTTTTCATATGACAGGAGGCTTGTTTGATTTTTCAGTTGGTTGGTTGGGTTTGGGGCTTTTTTGTTGATGTTGTTGTTTTGGGAGGAATTAGGTGGGGTTTTTTTAAATATGAATACACTTTCTTAATGGGAAAAAAAAGGAGCTTTTATACACAAAAGAACAGACATGGGTTTCATTTCAGCAGCTGTTTCAAATGTCTGCAAAACTGTAGCAAAACTACTATGACAGAATAACATTAAGAGAAGATTTTCAGGTAATAACTCTAATTTCACATTACAGATAGCTTTTTCATCCAACATTAGCTCACATACTAATGTCTTAAGTATTTATTCTGTCTCCAAAATTTGTAATACACTTTGCTAAAATTATTTGATTTAGTCAAGTCCCTACAGGCCCATTTGAGATTATTTCTTTATTAGTAAAACAATAAAATAACAATTGCTTTTTTATAAACTACAAGGCAAGGATCTAGTCAGCTGTTGGCAAGGACCAGCTAGCAATGGAAGCTCTAAAAGCAGCCCTGAGGAGTTTTGGAGGCTGAAGAATCAGAAAGCAAAGAACATGCTCTAGATCCTTCCCTTCCCTAAGTTCCATTCCCTCCCATAGCTCACTAACAACAGCCCAGAGTACCAAGGAACCTGTAAAACAAGGTCTGACCCTCCCTATCAGTTTCTCTCACTCACTTCTTGGCTGAGTCCCCATCCCTGGAAGGTACTGGAGGTGTGGCACTTAAGGACATGGTTCAGAGGTGAATTGGCGGTGTAAGGTTTGAAGCTGGACTTGATCTTAAGGGTCTTTTCCAACATAAACTATTCCATTACTCTACTAAAAAGAATACAAACTGTCCCTCTACCACTCTCCTTCTAAATATGGCTTCTGCAAGAGTCTCTGATGCCTTTACCTGACAATGGAGCAATAGGGGACACACACAGTAAGTAAATAATTACAGCAAGGCCCCTTAAGAAAATTGCAGGACATGCCACTTATTGTATTTACTCTGAAAGTGAAGTCTTGTTCCCAGTAGTTACCTGCACTTTCATGACTGTCTTAAGTAAGAGCTTTCCACCTGAATAAATCTTCCTATCTAACCTGAGAAGCCCAGAAGAAAATTTGGGGAAATTTTCTTTGGTTTGGCTGCTCTTCCAAGGGTTTCTTTGGTTGATATTGAGAGAAAAAAGCCATGCGAAATAGTAAGGAAAGAGGTGCACATATTTAACAGAGATTTAAACTTCAACATTCTCCTCTTTAGAATAACAAATCATTAAAAGAGAAAATTACTACAAATAAACAGATACAGATGTTTAGAATGCAAATTTAAAACCACTCCTGCATGAATGAGATCTGAATGACAAGGAAACAAGACATCTCAAAATGCACACACAAAATCCTAATGCTATGATCCCTCCATATGGGATTGGAAAGAAAAAAGAAAATAAGAAGTTAAAGAAAAATCTACTGACCCAAGCCTATACTGCAAAATACCACATTGAACATATTCTTCATAATTTTGCTGTCACATCCAGCTTACTTGCCATAGATGTGGTGAAGTTACATCCAGGATACAGTTCCAAATAAGAAGTCATTTCTTTACAGATTCAGTAGCACAAAAGGCTTACCATTAAATTTGGCAAAACGTGCATATTTTTATGGCATATGTAACAATACAAATTACATGTTTCTAACCTCCAATTATTCATAACATAGCTGGGTTACTTCACTCGCTCTGATAAACAATTATTAAAGACTAAAAAGTTTAATATTTATGCAAGTGTTACTCACCCCAGCCTAAAGTCAACAGTTCTGAGCAAATGCTTCTTTTTGCAGATATGGAATCACCCCATATCCCTAACTATTTTCAGAAAATAATCTGCATTTCCCTCTTCCCATCTAAAAATTTATACTTTCTTCCCTCTCTATAACACAAAAGCCACTTGGGTTTGCCTTTAAATTCCAACTGCTTCAAATATTATTTTTAAATAGACTTTAAAATAGAATCCTTTCCAAATAGCAAAAGTCATTAATAACTTCCCTATGAAGTTATGAAAAATAACTTCCCTAACATCCCAGGTTTATAGCATCAACTGAAGCTGAAAGTTTACTGCTTAAAAAAAGTAATAGTTAAGAAAGAACTCATTCAATTCAAGTTCCCAGGCTATGCCCTCTGTGAAAGTTCCTTTCCTTTCCCCTTTCCCCACAACTCCAAAATACATCAAGGGACAAAGCAATGTGCAACTCTGACTCTCTCTGGCTGTTTTCTCAAGAGTACAATAAAAATAAAGAAATAAAGGTGAAAAGTACAGAGACAAGCAATATGAATGACTAGAGGCAAGAAGTGTATGATGTCCATTTTCTAAATGCCAGAGTAGATTGAAGAGTCCTAGAAGAAAGAAACAATATGCCAAGACTGATACCATGTTGTTCATGCTGTCATTTCACTTAAATAGGAAATGATATTTCACTGTACTTACTTCCTACATTACTGTAAATACTGATGAGACTGGGCCTCATTTACAATAAACAGCAGACGCTGTTCTACACAATACGTAGATGAAATGTTAACTATATGCTGCATGGCATAGAAGATAAACCACGATGCACTTGGGTTCAAAAATAGAATGAATTCCCGGAATAAAGTCTTGTGAAAGTTTACTACATCTAGAAAATATCTAGTTGAGGATATTTGAACCATATATTATAGGTGTATGTTATTTCTCACATGAGAAACTTCAAGTAAATGTTGCAGTGTACTTGCTTGTACCTATTTTCCTCTCCTGAAAACTACGGTTGGCCATTTGCCTTCTGGCCAAATTTACCGAGACAAATACCATGTTTCAGCATAAGGTTTTGCAGGAGTGAAACCCACAGTTGTCCAGACACCTCAATTCCAGAAGAGCTAAAAGCATACTTCAGAAGTCTTTCATAAAAGCTTATTAACAGACCTCACCAACAGATTTTTCATTTCATGGGAAAGAATCACCATGCAGTGCAATCTTAACTGCAAAATGTCCACCCCTATCTTTTTTCCCTTCACACAGCACAAAAAGTTAAAATATTTTAAGTCAGTTGTGTGGATAAGCCATGGAAAATACTCTTTATTTTCTGCTCTGGTTCCATTTGCCATTTTAAAAGTATTCAGGTTCACCACTGGAAAAAGTTGAGAGAGGAATTTTAGATTTTTAAATTCTCACCAAGAGTCAAGCAGCATTCAGAAACCATCTTCTCTAAATGCTTAAAGAAAACACCACCAAAAAAGATACAGCTGCAAGATTTTTAGATGTTTCATCCTAGTATAATTCAGCATTTATGTAAAGTCCCTCTTAACAGGTAAGTTTCTTGGTGTGCTCAGAACACACACATAAAAAAACCCTAGCAGAACCCACAGCACTCAGAGCTGACTCCTAGCTCCATTCACCTTCTCAACAATACTAATAAAATATGTAACTCTCTCTTGCCCCCTACATGACTGTATCCAACTGTACTTACTATCTCTACTCATTCTGAAGAGTTAATAAAAACTCTTATATTTGAAATTATATACAAGGACTGGAATAAACCAGTCTTGACACAAAGAAAGGATGACACATCCCTGTACCTAAGCCCTTTATAAAGGCAAAGATTAGAATGCTGTATTTATCTCAACATTTATCACAAGGTTTGTTCTTAACTGATACTTATGCTTTATAGCACAGACTATTTTTTCCCTTCAGATTTCTATTCTCAGTAATTTCAGTGACTCATGGAGAAACGGAGACCAACAGAACTCAGAAAAAGTAGTTGTTAAAATGGAAGCGAGTTGAGAAAGACTTCAGATGTCAAAATACCATTGCAGTCTGAAAATAAAAAAAACATGCATACAGATGAAAAAAATAGGTACCAATGTGAACATGTATCTGAAAAGAGGAAGAACTCATATTTTTCTGCAATGATTTGCTTACAACATCTGTACAGCAAGTCCAGCTGAATGGGGGCACATCAGAACCTCCACACACGCCCTGCACACCAGAGAGGGCTCTAGCATGGCTGAAGTGTGAATTGAGCATGCACAGGCAGCCTGCTGCATATGCACAGTACACTGGATCCAGAACTCATTCTCCTGTGCTACACAACTCTGCAGCTTTGCTCTTGTAACCAAAACCCCACAGAGGTCAGACACGTGCAGCTTAAGCCTGCATTCCTACACACTTGGAACTCCAGACGTGGCTGGTAATAGGTCAC